TCCTAAAGGAAATTCGAATCAAGGCTTAAAGGAATTGACGATATTCCTAAAGTAAATTAGAAGCAAAGCTTAATGAATGACTAGGAGTGTTGATATGAGGTAGAGAGAGAGAGAGACACACACCGCCGTTTTTGAAACATCTGCTTGCGTCGTTCTCCTAAAAAAATTGTTACTGTATTGAAAATATTAATTGTTTTTACCTCATATAACACCCGAGATGGCACAAAAATAAACCAGATTAAAATACTTTTTATTCAGAGCATTCTACAAAATCAGCTGTTACTGTATGAATCTCGTAAATAATGATAATAATAGCCAATTAAGCAGGCCTTGAAGCCCCGCTAGTGAGTAAAGAAATCAAATAAGAGACCCTTCACGTGTATTATTGTATTCCCATTTTGAACTTCCTAATACTGCCGAAGCTAGATTTCAATTTGTTTATTAACTCATTTATTAAAATCTTTACGACGCAAACACTTTCTATATATATTTAAAAAAGAAAGAGAGATAAAACATTTTTAAGAAATTCTAGTTGAGGGTACCCGTTAAGGAACCAAAAACTGTACAAAGGACAATGTTAGATACCCTTTCCTTATTTGTTATTAAACCCATAATGACCTCATTAGCTGCTAATTTATTACCCTCCTTTGTTGAAGGTAATAATTGGCTCATTTAACTGATTAAGTGCTTATGTCTTTAAATCCAAAGCCGAAAGTTAATGTAATCGAGCCAACCAACTCTGGGTGATGGATGCTAACACACACACACACATACACAATGGTTCATCTTTATAGTACGATTTATATTATAGGTTTTATTTAGCATTTCGGTGTTTTATTGGGTTTATATTACAGGTTTTATTTACCATTACGGTGTTTTATAGGGTTTATATTATAGGTGTTATTTAGCATTTCGGTGTTTTATAGGGTTTATATTATAGGTTTTATTTAATATTAGTGTGTTTTTATAGGGTTTATATTATAGGTTTTATTTAATATTAGAGTGTTTTATAGGGTTTATATTATAGGTTTTATTTACCATTACAGTGTTTTATAGGGTTTATATTATAGGTTTTATTTAATATTAGAGTGTTTTATAGGGTTTATATTATAGATTTTATTTACCATTACGGTGTTTTATAGGGTTTATATTATAGGTTTTATTTACCATTACAGTGTTTTATAGGGTTTATATTATAGGTTTTATTTACCATTACGGTGTTTTATAGGGTTTATATTATAGGTTTTATTTACCATCATAGTGTTTTATAGGGTTTATATTATAGGTTTTATTTACCATTACAGTGTTTTATAGGGTTTATATTATAGATTTTATTTACCATCATAGTGTTTTATAGAGTCTATATTATACGTTTTACTTAACATTAGTGTTTTTAGTGGTTATATTATAGGCTTTATTTAACATTACATTAATTTATATGGTCTTTATAGATCAATTTGACAAAAGGAAATTGGATTACTTACAAACTGTGTGTCTCATAGATTCACTGATTCAACATCTGTGCCTGTAAATGTTTTAACCTTCCAAAGTCGCGCGAATTTCGCTGGCAGACAAGTTAACGAGACGATAAATTGTAAATACCTGTAATTTTCTTCGTCAACGTAGATGCCGTTTTTTTCCCGGGAAGCTATCAAGTCTCGTCTTAAACGTTCGATTTCTTCTGTGTATTCCTACAACAATTAAGATAACAACAATTAAAAACAATATGTACGGCTTTGTTCCTTAAGCTCTATAATCAATACGTTCGTATACATCAAAGGGGCCAGTACTACGGTATTTAATAAACAGAATTTCAATACACTAAAGACTTATTTTTCAATTTTCGCGCGAAGCTGACGGGTGAGGGTAGGACTGTATAAGTTGGGGGTGGAGTCCATGTTTTATGTGGTTCAATACCTGATGTATAGCGCCCTGAAATGTCATCAGCTGAATAAAATAAACAATGCTACATTGTAACCGCACATTTTTTTAGAAATTTATTTCGTGATCTGCTAAAACAAACACCCCTTTGCGTAGGTTTTAGATAATTGTAAACCTTGAAGTAAAGCAAATTACGGTTCTGTACCTAATACGTGTAACTACTGTCATTGTATATTGTCTTCAGAAGTAATATATTTTACCCGAGTTAAGTTTATTAAATCAGGAAGCACAATGCTGGTTTGACTACCCCAACCCACCGGCATTTAGGCAAATTTGATCGTCCTTCGTCATAGTGTACTCGTGGCTTCATAGCGTACTCATGGTCCCAAAAGTGGAGCAAGTTTTGGAAGCAACGGGTGGCGAACATTAAATCCCCCCCGATTCTAAAACCGGGCACGCTATCCCTGCTCAAAAATACGAGAACACCTGACTATATTGCAATAGAATGAGAGTAAAAAGTACACACCTTGAGTAACAATATATATATATATTACACAAATGACCAAGCATATATAATAATATAAATGAATAGGATGATCACGCAATACTGTGATAACACCCAGTGTACACTTCGTTTAGTCATAAACCTACACTTTTCATCACCGGAAATAGCAATTTGAGGTTACCCAGCCATGTTTTCTTCATCTTTTGATGTCTTGGAGCGTGACGGGAACACGAGTTCATACTTGTGAACAAAACCCAAACCCAGCTGAGAAATGTGTTTTACAACGACAGAGGGGCAATTTACACACGAAACCAACTCAAAGCCATAGTTTCAAGCCTAAAAGGAAATAAAAACCTCCTGGGAGGCATTTTATCTATCATCGACCTCGTTACGCCGATAATATGATACCGCCCAAATCGCAGCTTTCCAGTTAGCCATGGTCTGGATTTTGTTACTTAATATTTTCCGTGTTATGGACCGCTATATTATAAAATTTAAAACTTTACTAACGAAGTGTTAGCACACTGTCGACGTCCCCCCCCCTCCCCCGAAAAATGTTTTTCATATATAATATAGTAAACAATGAAAATATTTACTGACCGCTGATGAACGAGACCACTGGAGCAATAAAATAACGACGGCCACCACAGCCAACAGTCCGACGGTCACGTAGAGTAGCGGTTTTCCCGCTGACATTACATTTCTCCCTCTTGCACGGGCGCTAGTCGATCTAGCAGGGCAGGACGATACTCGACGCACAGAGGGGCTGTCTGTATTGTAACTTTAAAATTAACCATACAGTTATTCGATACGCAACGGTTCAAAGGGGGGAATATATCCTTAGACGTTTAGTCGGTGTATACGGAAGCTGGTAGATCCCCATACAACAACGCTGAGTTTTCTCGGCCACAAGCCGTGTTTTCGACAGGCCATGGGACGGGTTACTTGCTGCCTTAAGGGAAGGGCAGCATCAAAGCGTCATACTGGGACGCTCCACGTATATATATACACGTGAACTGTCCGCCTATTGGAGGTGTTCGTGCTACAAACAACCACCAGGCAGCAGATACAGGTAAAGTTATTGCTGATATGGTCAAAACTTAACGTTTCGTTATGGCATTTGGTAAAATCATTAACGCAACATGTGTTCTCCATAGCATGAGCCGTCCGTCGTAGAATCTGAACATGAGCAAATAGTGTCTACGCTCATTTCGGCCAATCAAACTTAACAGGCCAATTTTCACCTCCCCCCCCCCTATCCACTTCTGCCACCATCCTTCCAGGCCATACATCGCGCTACACTCGCATATTTTGAGTCTCTTCAATATTTTTTCTTCTGTCAAGCGAAATATAGCTGTTGTCTGTTCTTATGAAAAAAAAAAAATTAGTCAAACCATATGGTCGTAACACGAAGCGGTGATGGCCCGATAATTGGACCGTCAGTTATAAATTATTCTTCTATCTTCTGAAGCAAGAACTAAAAAAAAAAAACCTTATTTAAAAACGTGTCTACCAATCAAGTGATAATCGTGAACAGACAAGTCAGCTTGCAAGTTTATTTCATACGTGTAAAAATTTTAAAAAATCTTAGCGACAAGAATAAAACACACGAAGATAGCGCAAACTTATTCACACCAAACTTATTACTCTTTTTCCAAACGAAGACACTTTTTTTAGGCTATATGGCTTTCGGATTAGAACTGACACTTGGATTTTCTTAACAGATCCCGGTTATGGGATTTGTTAAACAATGTTGCATTTTGCGCACGACCACTGGAGAGCTAACCGCGCCAGACGTTCTAACGTGTTAAGTAACATACCAAAGGGCCCCAGCTATGCAACAAGACCCACTGTCAACTCTTGGGACGAACAGTGGGATTGACCATTACATTAAAAGACTAAAGGAGGACGAAAATGTTCGGTGACGTGTTTGGAACCCACAGATTGCGAGTTGAGTGCCCTAACCACTAGGTCATGTACATAACGTGTGTTGAATTGAATGTTCAATTTGGAATCGTGCCAACATATGGTTACAGATTAGCCGGCTAAATTTTTTGGAAGACATCTATGTTATTCAAATTCGGTTGACGACCACAGAAAAGTAAAATTTGTGGGACACACTCTTGGGTAAACACTGCCTATAGACACGGTATCTTTCAATGTTGAAAACCTAGCATGTTCATCGTGTTACAATTATTTTTGGTGGGGTTTAAATCATTCTACAAACACTAAATAATATCTATAAATTTTTCTTTGTTAGCTCCTTCATAATATGTTTGAAGATTTATCGCATAAAAAATCGTTTTATCTGAGACTAGCAAGCTCAATGTAAACATCATAAAATCAAGTTACATCTGTGAATACTTAAGCGTAATCAGTTATGATCAGTCTTCCCAAGATTGGCTTGTATGCCCTGGTGGTTAAGGCGCGTGACTCGCAAGCTACGAGCCATAGGTTCGAATCCTTATCACCGAACATGCTCGCCCTTTCAGCCGTGGGGACGTTATAGTGTGACGTTCAATCCCACTATTCGTTGGTAAAAGATCAGCCCAAGGGTTGGCGGTGGGTGGTGTCGAATAGCTGAGTTCCCTCTAGTCTATTAGTGCTAAATTAGGGACGGCTAACGCAGATAGCCCTCGAGTAGCTTTGCACGAAATTCCAAAAACAAACCTTTTCAAATTGAGACCTCTAAACCTTACGCAAATAAAGCCAAAAGTGGAGAAAGGCTTAGCAACCAATGATGTAAGCTGATTTAAAGTCTTCCCCCCTCTTAACCCTATAACTTCTGTTTGTTTGTTTTGAATTTCGCGCAAAGCTACACGAGGGCTAACTGCGCTAGCCGTCCCTAATTTAGCAGTGTAAGACTAGAAGGAAGGCAGCTAGTCATCACCACCCACCACCAACTCTTGGGCTACTATTTTACCAACGAATAGTGGGATTGACCGTTACCTTATAACGCCCCCACGGCTGAAAGGGCGAGAATGTTTGGTGGAACGGGGATTCGAACCCGCGACCCTCAGATTGCGAGTCGAGTGCCCTAACCACCTGGTCATGCCGAGCCCTATAACTTCTGATGGGGTCCATTTTTTTTCTTTATTAAGTAATTATTTGCGATTCAAAACTTTCTTGGTTGCAAAGTCGGGTTTACAGCCAATAGAAATCTTCAAGCCCTTACAAACTGCAAAACTCTCCTCACTACCATTACTTTGGATTCGTGTCTCACCCTCAATCTATCTTATGGCACAATCAATTGCGTATGCTCCGATTATTAGTTTCAAAATTCTTCTCGCTGGATGCAATAAATCAGTATTCGCACAAAGTGGACAAGCCTCAGATACCGACAGTGGTTTTTACACGAAAACACCATTAATTCATTATATCTACGTTGATGTCTATCACATGGCCAACTGGAGTAGATAAGCCGCCATAAACGACAGCACATTTTAAATTCCATTGAACATAACCGCCATTTTATTTTTCAACCGAGCTCTTTAATGAAACCGCGTCTCCTCATACTCCGTGATTTAGTTATCCTAATGAATGACTTTATAATTTAACAGAAGCTTTTAGACACCGTTACAGTCTGCATTTAATTTTGATAAAACAAATATCCAAACTGACGATATCATATTGCCAGAATCATAAGTTTTGACATCAATGCGTGAACTTTGACCATTTAAATCCGCAGAATCTAATAAATGACACAAAACGTGAGAACAAAAAAAGGGGGGAGAGAAATGTAGAAATACAACTGGAATTTTCAATATGAACATAACTAATATTTTCGCACGTGGGCTAAACACGACCAGGTCAGAGACCCTTGGGACCAGCCAGCTGCACCTATCACCATATGGGCTTTTCCCATCTAGTTGAACAGTACAACGGGACTGACTGTCGCTTGTATAACGCGCCGACAGCGCGGCGTTAAGCGACATTACGCCTAGAAACGCGGTCTCTTCGATACGCAGCCTCACGTGCTAACCACGAGGTCAGGTCAGGTCCGGCCCAACGTGAACATATTTTCCCTAAAAATCTCAGTTGCCTGGTGCTTTCTCACTGCTAAAAACATTTCATAGAAGTTAATATTGGCTTTATCCAGATCATGCTGACATCCAGCTAATGTGATGGACACCGAGAAACGACAGTCCGTGTAGTACTACTTTAAAACCCCTCGAGGCAAAACAAATAAAATCAGTATACTTATTATTTAATTTCCGCAGTGAACATTGAAGAATGAAAGACACTTTAATTGGTCAATCAACGTTTCCCTTCATAGCTTCTTAAGGTTTAGTTTAGTTTTAATTT